ACTCGCACCCGGGGCTCGCGGAGGTGGCGGCGGCCTACCAGCGCGTTCGAGCCGGGCGCCTACCTCCGCAACAACTACGCGCCCCCGCGGGGGGACCTGAGAGCCGCCGACGGCGTGGGGCCCTGGAAGCTGCGCTGCCTGGCGCAGACCTTCGCCACAGGTGCGCGGGGCCCGGGACCAGGAGCCCGCAGGCGGCGAGGGGCGCGTGGGAGAGCCAGTGCGCACCCAGGAGCAGGGAGTTCAGAGGTGAAAATAGAAGAGGAAGAGGGGCGACCGGAGAGAGACCCACCCGGGCACAGGGGTGGGAGGGGAGGTGGGCGGTGCGGGAGAGAGAGCAGGACGGACGGAGAAATAGACAGAGATTGGGGAGAGAAGGCCCGCACCCCACTCAGTCCCCCCGGGAGGTAGGTACTGAGCCGTGTCCAGCACGGTCAGGGGTGAACCTGAGGGGGGCGGTGAAGGATGGAGAAGACAGACAAGAGGAGAAAGCTGGGTCTGGGTGGGGCGCTGCTCTCTGATGGAGAGACAGCCGCGGCCTGCAAGCCGGCCTTTATTTTATAGCAGATTCCACGCGGCAAAGTAAGGGCGTGTTTACAATGTTCTCGCGGGTTTCGAATGCACTCAATTACTTGCACCTGAACTCTATCAAGCTTTGTTTTGGCAGCACTGGCTGCACCTCTCGCACCTGGGACCACAGGTTCGGACCATAAGGTCAAGCTTACAATAGCCTTTGGCTATAATGGTGCTGGGAGGGCTTTGCCCTCCAAGCTGGGACTTGCACGTGGCTTTGCCAGGAGAGGACGGTGCCCTCTCTTTAGTCCGAGGCTTGAACCTGTCCAAACGCCGTAGCCGCTCTCCACAGGTACACTTGTACAGTTAAGCTCCTTTTTCACGGTACGTTTTTAGGACTCTGGTTAGTCCTACTCCACAGCCAATGCTTTTTCCAGATAGAGACACACAGAGGAAGAAGGAAGAGAGGGAGGGAGGAGCAGGGCCAGGCAGGCACCAGGACCTCTTCCTCTGCCCCATCCAGGTGAGGTGTCTGGACACACCCTCGTGAGGTGTCTGGACACACCCTCATCGACATTGGTTCAGGCCCCACCGTGTACCAGCTGCTCAGCGCCTGCGCCCACTTCGAGGACATCACCATGACAGACTTCCTGGAGGTGAACCGCCAGGAGCTGGGGCTCTGGCTGCGGGAGGAGCCTGGGGCCTTCGATTGGAGCGGGTACAGCCGGCACGTCTGCCTCATTGAGGACAAAGGGTAAGGGCTAGGGCACGAGGGTCTGGCAGGGGCTGCCCAGAGAGTGTGCGGGGAGGGCAACAGAGGACTGAGCCTGGGGCGTCCTAGCCGAGCCCGGATGATACCCTGTGTCCCTGCAGTGAGTCATGGCAGGAGAAGGAGCGCCAGCTGCGAGTGAGGGTGAAGCGGGTCCTCCCCATCGATGTGCACCAGCCCCAGCCCCTGGGCGCTGGGAGCCTGGCGCCCCTGCCTGCCGATGCCCTGGTCTCTACCTTCTGCCTGGAGGCGGTGAGCCCTGACCTTGCCAGCTTCCAGCGGGCCCTGGACCACATCACTACTCTGCTCAGGCCTGGGGGGCACCTCCTCCTCATCGGGGCCCTGGAGGAGTCCTGGTACCTGGCTGGGGAGGCCCGGCTAGCGGTGGTGCCCCTGTGTGAGGAGGAGGTGAGGGAGGCCCTGGTGCGTAGCGGCTACAAGGTGCGGGACCTACGCACCTACACCATGCCTGCCTATCTTCGAACAGGCGTAGACGATGTCAAGGGCATCTTCTTTGCCTGGGCCCAGAAGAAGGTCGGGGTGTGAGGCCCCCGTGCACCCAGTGCCGGCAGCCCTCAGCCCTCAGATTCCCTATTACCTGAGGCGGCACCTAATAAAGAAATGTCTGTCCTACTGCGTGTCAGTGCTGTCTGCGGCTCTCCTGGGAAGCAGCAAGGGCCCAGAGCTCTCTCTTGTGTTGCGGGGGGTGTGGGAGGCACCCACCCTGGCCTTTTCCCCCCGGAAGCTTCCATGTAGAGACACACAGATTTCTGTATCATTCATTTCCCCAAACTAAGGAAGGCTTAGTCCGAGGGACCTCCGTCAGCATCTGCTGTGGGCCAGGCACCTGCTAGTCACTGGTTCTCACACTCAGCGGCAGGTCCTGTTATCCTGTTGGCAGGTGACAATCCCGATGGCTCAGACCAGAGGGGAGGGGGAATGAGGAGACTGAAGTGGAACTTGCAAGGGGCAGGGTTACAATCCAGGCACAAACCAAGACCCTGGGAAGTGAGAGGAAGAACAAGCACCAGCTCCCTCCGCCGGCTCCCCCACAGCTGGGCCGGGGCTCTGTGGCTCTGCTGTTGCTGTGTCTGGTCCCTGCCATCCCCACCCCCACATACCTCAGCAGAGACCCCACCTGTCCGCTGCCTCCAGCCAGCACTGTTTCCTCCTTCCCTCCCGCCCAGCGGTTCTCAACCTGTGGGTCGCGACCCCTTTGGCGGTCGAACGACCCTTTCACAGGGGTCGCCTAAGACCATCCTGCATATCAGATATTTACATTACGATTCATAACAGTAGCAACATCACAGTGATGAAGTAGCAACGAAAATAATTTTATGGTTGGGGTCACAACATGAGGAACTGTATTTAAAGGGCCAGAAGGTTGGGAACCACTGCTCCAGCCCATCCTACTCTCACACGAGCTGAATAAGGGCAGGTGAGGCTGAACATTGGTTTATTAAGCAAGTCCCTGCTACCCTCCGACCTTAAAATACTTCTCAGGATCAAAATAAACATGGCCACGTCCCTGCAGTTGGAGTCCTAGCAGAGTCCCCCTGCCCCCAGGAGAGACAGGCGGCAGGGGAAGAGCCAGAATCCATAGGTGAGCTCGGGAAACACACACAGGACAAGGAGTCCTGCTCCTGGGCCAATCAGAGAGACTGCCTTCGAATGGAAGTTTCTGGAGCTGCACATTCTATCCTTGGGGGCAGGAATGGATGGGACTGCCAGCGACTAGCGGGGAGCACCTTTGCCAGGGTGCAGGCAGAGTATGGCCTGGGCCGGCCAGCCTCAGATTGCCTCTCCCCCTGCTGAGGGTCAGGGCTCTGGCAAAAGGGCTCAGCAGGCCTGGCACCAGGGTGGGGGGGAGACAGGGAGGCTGGAGGGGCCCAGAGGATCCCCACTTCCCTCCTCCCTCTGCCTTCCAAAGGGCTGGTTCTGGTTCTGGAGGGTGATCTGGAGTTGTGTGGGGGCCCTTTTGTGATTTGCAAAGGGAGGGGGGCCCCAGGCAAACACATCCACCAACACACACAGCCTGGACACCCACACCCCCAGCCAGATCTTGGGGCTTTGTGCAGAGTTGGTGCTCAATAAATGGTTATTGACGGTGACTGAATCCCCTCACGCTGCTCCAACCTCCCCTCACTGTGGCACATCCCCTGCACTCACACCCAGTCCACGTATATTCCCCTAACCCACAGTAACCTGCCTGCTCCCCCAACACACACACTTGATTTATTTTGAAATTTTTATTGATTTTAGAGAGGAAGAGAGAGAGAGAGAGAGAGAGAGAGAGAGAGAGAGAGAGAAACATTGATTTGTTGTTCCATTTATTTATACGTTCATTGGTTGGTTCTTGTATATGTCCTGACCGGGGGTCAAACCCACAACTTTGGCACATCGGGATGACGCTTTAACCAACGGAGCTTGAAGCCCCGGCCAGGGCTTAACAACACACGTTAAAGCCACTCACACCCACCCCCACGCCTCCACACTGCACCAGGCCAGGGTTCACACATACTGTCCCACCCAGCATCCCGCACACCCCAGGCCTGTGCCCACCAGTCCCAACTGCATGGTCTCTCAAGACCCCTTGGAGTGGAATGCATTGGGCCTGGAAACAAGGGCAGCCAAAGAGCAAGCGTCTAGTGCCACCTAGTGGTCCCTGGAGGAGGGCACAGGGGTAACAGGAGGAAATCCCACTGCATCCAAGACGGCCTGGCAGCTGGTCTCCCGGCTGGACAGAGGTCTCTGGCAACCAGCAGGCGGAGAGGGGAGGTGAGGAGGTGGCTGGCTGACGGGAAAGCAGAGGCCGCTCTCCTCTTGGCGGAGCTGAGAACACAGTTCAGTTCAGGAACCAGAGGGGCCGCCCATCCTCTAACCCCAGATGCCCAGAGGCCAGGCCCCAACACGTGCCTGTGAGGACCATGTGGGGGTGAGCCAGGTGGTGGGCCTATTACATGATTCTGGGCCCACACCCTTCAAGTCTAAGTTCAAAAAATAAATCATCGCAAGGGCTGGGGAGAAGAGGAGCCAGCAGGGAGGGGGCAGAGTCCCCACGAGGGCAGACTCGCTCCCGGGCCTTCAGTCCAGCTTCGATTCCTTCAGCAGGTACAGGCTGTCCTCTTCCAGGAAGCTGTGAGCAGAGGAAGGAGCCACTGAAGCCCAGACCCGGGGCGCCCCCTGGTGGCGGGGCGGGGTGAGTGCAGGCAAACCGCAGGGGGCGAAGCAACAGAGAACTGTCTCCCCTGAGCGTTGAGGAAGGGCACGGGGAAGGCGAGCCCTGGGCAGCGGGCACTCACCTGAAAAAGAGGACGTGGACGGGGATGGTGCTGATGTGCCAGATGGCGTGGGCATCCAGGACCCAGAAGAGGGGCGGGAAGTCCAGCAGCTCGAGCAGGGACAGCCCCTGCAGCAGCAGGACCACCACCATGCACTTGCGCACGTGAGGCAGCTGCTGCCGGTTCCACCAGCACCAGGCCAGCCACCACACCACGTTCACCAGGCCTGGGGGTGGGGGCAGAGGCTCAGGCCCTGGACCTCCTCCACCCCCCGCCCCCCAGCCCCCCTGCCCCGTCTCCCCTCTTCTACCCCAAATCTTCTCCCTTCCCCCACCCAAGGCTCTCTTAGAACCTCCTTCTCTAGGAACAGCACCAACTCCTCCCCCCACGCCAGCAGTTCTGCAGCTGTCCCACCCCCGGGGCCCCAGCCCTGCCTCACCAATGGCCACGTTGGCCGCCAGGTTGTAGCCATAGTCAAAGCGGACGAGGCTCAGGTAGGAGACGTGCGCCGTCAGCATGAGCAGCAGGAGGGCCCGAAAGGCACTGGCCACAGTTGGGCGCTGCAGCCCCACAGTCCTGCCCACCATCCAGAGCTGCTCAGAGGGTGGCCCGTCCCCAGTGCATTCCCGGAGGCATCGCCTCACCCCAACATCCGTACCTGGAAGCCACTGCCCCGCTCCCCCACCAACAGGCCAGCTGGCAGGCCTCCAACCCTCCCCGGGCCTGGCCCGCAGGCACGTGGGCTCACCTGACACAGGCACAGATAGATGGAGTGCAGGATGACGGTGGAGGCACAGAAGGTAGTCGATTTTCTGAGGACAGTAGAGCTGGTGAGCGCCGGTGGTAGGGGGAGCAG